CTGAGGCAGGAAGATGGCAAGTTCAAGGCAGGAAGATTGCAAGTTCAAGTCCAGGCTGATCAACTTTGTAAGGTGTTTCAAATTAAAATAAAAAAGAGCTGGGGATGTAGCTCAATAGCAGAGCACTTACTTAGCATGTGTGAGCCCCTATGTTTAATCCCAAGTACAACTATATAAATAAATACATAAATAAAGTTCTATTTCCCAGTACTAAAACATTTGGTCAACTATCCTCTTATGATTTCATTTGCCTGTTTTTATATTGCTGGTTTGGCATCATCTACATAAGTTCTTTTTTTTTTTTTGTATTGGGAATTGAACTTAGGGGCTCAACCACTGAGCCACAACCCCAGCCCTTTTTAATATTTTATTGAGAGACAGGTCCTTACTAAGTTGGCTTTGAACCTGTGATGATCTTGCCTCTGCCTCCTGAGCTGTTGGGATTACAGGCTTGCACCACTGTGCCCAGTGTAAGCACATTCTTAATGGCTTTTGTTTTGGTGCTGAGGGTTGACCCCATGGGTGCTTTACTACAAAGCTATATCCCCAGTCCTTTTTTATTTTACTTTTTTATTTTGAGACAGGGCCTCAGTAAGTTGCCCACGCTGGCTTCAAACTTTCTGAGGCTGGCCTCAAACTTGTGATCTTCTGGCCTTAGCCTCCGAATCACTGGGATTCTAGGTGTGTGCCACCACACCTGTCCACTTAATGGCTTTTTTAAAAAAAATGAAACATGTTAGGTAAAGTACTTAAAAGCACTCTATGTGTGTATGACTCTGGAAATTAACAGGACTGATATTTTGAAAGAGCTGAAAACATTTATATATATATATACACACACATATATATATATATATATATTAATACATATTTTTTATTGTTGATGGACCTTTATTTTCTTTGTATGTGGTGTTGAGAATCAAACCCAGTGACTCGAACATGCTAGCTAGGCAAGCGCTCTACCACTGAGCCACAACCCCAGCTCTTACTATGTTTTAATTTTGTTTGTTTATTTTTGGTGGTGTTGGGGATCAAACCCAGGGCCTCCCTCATGTTAGGCAAGGGTTCTACCAATGAGCTTACCCCCTACCCTAATATTGCTATATTTTTAATGCCTAAACTGTCATGATAACAGCACAGGTGTTCCAGAGACAGTGTCAGGAAACACCACACACTTCAATAACCCCTTATGCTGATTATAGAGAATAGGGCAGGTGAGTTGAGGTTTGGAGGAAGCTGTACTTAACACCAACTAAGACTCATCCTGGTTAATTATGCTTTCTGACAACAAGCATGATGGGAACTCATATCACAGATAATATTAACTAATCCATAGATAATAACACAGATGCTTGCCCAAATACTTTCAAACTTATCTGTATCTGGGAGGAATATTCTTTTACTTGAGATACTTTACAAACAAACAAACAACAACAACAACAATAACAAAAAAAAAAAAAACTGGAGTTTTTTTCCATCTCAGTATCCTTCTAAATTTCATTGTTTTAGGTAAGTGAAATAGAATATAGCCAGCTGTATATCCTTAATTAAGGATTAAGTGGGCTGATCTTCAATGATCTGAGAAATTTGATTATAGTCCAGATATTAGGTGAAAGTCAATAAGTACTGTTCTTTCTGTCAGGTGTGATATTAACATTAAGGTGTAATAACACGTATATTTTTAAAGGATATATACTGAAATATATCCAGGTGAACTGGAATAATTTCTAGGATTAACAAAAACAATTCAGAGAGAGAAAAAGAGATAGTGTAATAAACTCTTGATAAACTTTTTTTGGAGGGTATCAGGGATTGAACTCAGGGGTACTTGACCATTGACCCACACTCCAAGCCCTATTTTATATTCTTTATTTAGAGACAGGATCTTAGTGAATTGCTAAGCATGTTGCTTTTACTGAGGCTGGCTTTGAACTTGCGATCCTCCTGCCTCAGCCTCCTGAGCCTCTGGGATTATAGGTGTGTGCCACAGCACTAGGCTCTCTTGATAATTTTTTTTAAATATTTATTTTTTAATTGGACACAATACCTTTGTTTTCTTTATTTATTTTTATGTGGTGCTGAGGATCAAACCCAGGGCCTCACACATGCTAGGCAAGTGCTCTACCACTGAGCCACAGCCCCAGCCTTCTCTTGATAATTTTTAAACCTCAAATGAGTATGTGTAGGTTTATTGTTCTGTTATGCCTTTTTATTTTTTCAAAGTGTTGGGCTAGGGGCTCTCTATCACTAAGCTACATCTTAAACATCCCCCTCTTTTTATTTATTTTTTCTTGCTTTCCTTTTTTTTTTTTGGTACCAAGGATTAAACCCAGGGGCATTTAACCACTGAACCACATCCCCAGCCCTTTTATTCTTTAATTTTGAGACAGACTCTCACTTCCATTCTCCTGCCTCACTCTTTTGAGTTGCTGGAATTACAAGCACGTTCCACCAGTTGCCTTATTATCCTATATTTATATAAGTTTAAAATTTTTACATAGTAAAAAGTTTGAAAAAACCATTGAATTATAGTAATTATTTTAATAGTTTGCTTTTTTCACCTGCAGAACAGGAATTTTTATTTTATTTTATTTTTTTTCAGGTACTGGGGATCAAAATTTGGGCCCTGCAGATGCTAGGCAAACGTTCATTCACTGAGCTGCACCCCCAGCCCCAGAGCATGAATTTGATGGTGAGAATGCCGCTGTATTTGGGCCTGTCTGCTGAAAAGAGTGTTTCTCTAGCTCATTAGTTGTCAAACTTGAGCTGCATTGGAGTCACCTGGAAGGCTGGTGTTTGCTAGATCCTATCCCCAGAATTTCTGATTTAATAGATCTGGTCAGGTGCCCAAGAATGTGTACTTCTAACAATCTTGGTTGATTCTGATGTGGTCCAGTTATCATACTAAGAATTACTGTTCCAGCTCTGCCATCTCTTCCAAACCATCCTGCCTCATTTTGTTTTTTTGCAACCAATTCCATTCCTTTATTAAATTTCATATCAAGCATGAACTTTATCTGTTCACATGGCCCAATTTCTTATTTTACTTTATTTATTCTGTGATATACTGAGAGTCAAAATCTTGCAGATTGGTACTTACAACTTTTCACTGTTGGATCCTGATCTACCCAGCTTTCCAATTTTTTTTCTTCCCTTATTTCTCTGACTTCAGCCATATCAAAATATTTGCCCTCTAAGTCAGGTACGGTGGCACACAACTGTAATCCCAGTGACTCCAGCAGGATTGCAAGTTCAAGGGCAACTTCAGCAATTTAACAAGACCCTGCCTCAAAATTTAAAAAATGGGGTGGGGTGTAGGGTGTGTGTGTGTGCTAGGGATATAGCTCAGTGATAGAGCACCCCTGGAGTCAATCCCCAGTACATCAGTACCAGAAAAAAAAATCTGTCATCTAGACAAGTCATACATATTCCCACCTCAGTAGCTTTGCCCGTGAGTCATCCCCTAGTGGAATGCATTTGTGTGCGTGCACACACACCACACACTCAGAGTAGTCAAGGTCCATCCAAATCCCTCCTTCTCCATAAAGTCCTCCTTGGCCACTAACATCCATGATGATTCTCCACCACCACCCTGAGGGCCTCTCATTTTACATTAATTATACTCTGTCCTGTAATAACTTTTACATTATTATTCATCTTATTATGCTTTTTACTTCAAGGACTAAACTCCTTGATGTCAGGGACTATGCTTTAAACAGAACTTCTTTGCATAGTCCACAGACTTTGACCCAGAACTATGCACTCAATAGGCAATTTCATTTTCCTGAGAATAGAAGGGAAATACTTTTTTATAAAATAAATAATGGGAGGTAGGAGGCTGGGGATGCAGTTCAGTTGTAGAGCACTTGCCCGGTATGCACAAGCCCTGGATGCAGTCCCCAGCACTACATTAAACAAATAAATAAATAAAGCGAACATTTGGGATGGAACCCATTGTTCTGTATATGTAGAAGCATGAGAGGTAAATAGAATCCTAATATCTACTTACCTCCAAGCAGTGCTATGAGAATAATTAATGTTTATGTAGGTCTTTGAGATCTTCAGATGAAAGGGGCTTTAAAAGAGTTCAGAATTATTATGATGATTCGTATGACTCTTTCAAAGCCTCCAACCAAATATTAGAGCAGCTGTCAGATTTTCTCAGACTGAGAAAGGTCCTGGGTTAAGAGGTAACCTCCCAACCCTCCTGGAGATGTCCAGGGAACCCACACTTTAAAACAGAGTTGCAGATGGTAAAAATAGGAACAAAACAAACTCTTGACTCCCTGAGCAAAAGTGAAACCAAGATACTCCCTGGAGTCCTCTGGCAGGAAGTCACTGGACTCTAGGACTGGCTGGCTGTGCCTTCTCCTCTGCTGGCCTCACAGGGCTTTCAGATGTCAAGACCTGCACTGCACTCACCTGGACCAGGAACTTCATGCTTCAGTTATTGCAGCTCAAAGTGATTTTTGATCTGAGTCTACAGATTTGGGCCTGAGGTCTACTTTTCATGATATCTCTCTCACTCCCTCAGAATAACTCAAGTGATCTCTTTTTTGGGGTGTGTGTGTGTGTGTGGTGGTACTGGGGATTGAACTCAGGGGCACTCGACCACTGAGCCACATCCCCAACCCTAGTTTATATTTTATTTAGAGACAGGGTCTCACTGAGTTGCTTAGCGCCTCACCATTGTAAAGGCTGGCTTTGAATTCTCAATTCTCTTGTCTCAGCCTCCTGAACTGCTGGGATTACAGGCATGTGCCACTGAGCCCAGTTCAAGTGATCTTGTGATCACCAGTTGAAAATCTATTGCAACACAAGTTACAGAATATTTAAGCTTAAATCTAAACTAGTTTCCATTTTATTTGATACCAAATTTCTTTTTCTTTTTATTTTCTTCCGGCTTACTGGTTTGGGTTGACTTGGATTGGTACCACTTTAACAATAATTCATTAACAATAAAAAATGTCTTCTCTGAGTCTAAAGTTATGACTACTTACGTTACAAAGAAAGAAAAGAATTCCAATACTTTTTCAGGCCCAGGCAGACATGGATACAGTTATAATTAAGCAGTAAATCACAAGATGCTGTTAGAGCATGCCTCAGATGGGTTGAGAAAAGTTGAATGTCCTCACCTGCCAGCACAAAATAAAAAAAATTAAAAAGAAAAATAAAAGTCAGCCAAGCTTACCCAGATGGGGCTTATACCTAGTACAATCATAAAGCCACTCCTGGTTTCTATTTCCAGGAATGAAAAACCCAGAGGACAAAGATCCAGGGTAACATTACACACCAAATGCTAATTCCCTCCTTAGCAGATCAGGTCAAACCATTCCTGGTTTGCAACGGGCAACTTTGGTTTGGCCAATGTGTGAGATTAGACATCCCCAGGCTTTGACCAGGATGATAAGAAAGTCTGCAATTCAACTATAACAGCAACAATAAAAATCACATAAAAGGACTCCATTCTTCCAGACCCCAAACTAGAAGTTATTCTTTTTTTTTGGCGATGGTTTTTGTGGTTTTGATTTAAGCACAAATAAAATGAACTTTTCTCTCTCTCTCTCTCTCTCTCTCTCTCTCTCTCTCTCTCTCTCTCTCTCTCTCTTTCTTTCTGGCATTGGGATTGGTGACTGATGGCCAGCTGGACTGATCTTTCTGCAATGGCTTGTGGTTCTTGGTGGAAACGTGAGCAAACTCAGTACAGTAAGATTTATTTCACATCAGTAGCCCTTCAAGCCCCTATATATTGTGGACCATGGGCTTCCAGAAGGCACTGGGCAGCTTGTGCTTTGTTTTCCTTTTCTTTTTCTTCTCCTTCTCCTTCTTCTTTTTCCTTTTGGTACTGGGGACACTTAACTACTGAGCCATATTCCCCACCATTTTTATTTTAAGACACAGTCTTGGGGCTGGGGATGTGGCTCAAGTGGTAGCGCGCTTGCCTCGCATGCATGAGGCACTAGGTTCAATTCTCAGCACTACATAAAAATAAAATAAAGATAAAAAAAAAAAAGACAGAGTCTCACCAAGTTGCTTATGGCTCTGCTAAAGTGCTGAGGCTGACCTCACACTTGCCATCCTTCAGCTCCTGCCTTCCAAGTCACTGGGATTACAGGCGCACCCCATCGCACCCCACCTGGCATGTACTTTGTTTTCTTATTGCTCCCATAACCCATAATGGGCATCATCAAGATCTGGTCCTAGATCTGGTCTCTGCACTTCGTTGTCAGTACCTCTAGGTTTCCACCAGTTATGTTTAATTTTGATATATGAGTCTGATTGGTGCCAGATGAACTTCTTGGTTCTCTTTTTTATAATCTGGGGCTTCATGGGAAGTCTGAGGGCCACCATGATGCCACATAGGGATGGCTGCCATCTCTGCAGGCAGCACCAAGGAAGCGAGAGAGAGTGAATCTGCCATCAATTAACCAAGTGCTCTGTCCTCAGAGCACCTTGCTATGGCTTCTGAGGCTCATTGGTCCTGCCCAGGAATATTGATGTGGGTAGCCCTTGATTCCTAACTCAGGCTTCAGTAAAACAAGAAAACAAGCACAGGAGGAGGCCCTGATTCTCAATCTCTAGCTGCCTTTTCAGAATATGCTTCTATGAAGAAAGAGGTCTGTCTCCTGGACAAATACATATGAATGATAGCTTGATGATTCCGCCTCCCCAAACACCTCTCGCAGCACACATGGTGTGAGGCTCAGCTGTGTTAGGGACCAGTAAGCAGGAAGAGGGGTGCACTGAACCAGAGGCAAAATAGCATTTATAGTAAGTTGTAATTAAATCATATTGCTACAGTCAGGCATGGTAGCACATGCCTGGGATCCCAGTGGCTCAGGAGGCTGAGGCAGAGGATCACAAGTTCAAAGCCAGCCTCAGCAACTTATCGAGCCCTAAGCAACTTAGTGAGACCCTGTTTCAAAATAAAAAAAACAAAGGGCTGGCGATGTTGCTCAGTGGTCAACCACCCCTGGGTTCAATCTCTGGTTCCAAAAACATGTATATATATATATATATATATATATATATATATATATATATATAGAGAGAGAGAGAGAGAGAGAGAGAGAGAGAGAATGCTGCAGTTTTGATTTTGAATGTCCCCCAAAGAAAGTGGGGCTTAATGGAAGGAAGTTAGGCCACTGGGGGCATCCACTTTTTTTTTTTTTAACAAAAATTCTTAGCCCATGGGCTGGGGATGTGGCTCAAGCGATAGAGCACTTGCCTGGCATGCGTGCGGCCCGGGTTCCATCCTCAGCACCACATACAAACAAAGATGTTGTGTCTGCCGAAAATTTTTTTTAAAAAATTAAATAAATATTAAAAAAATTCCCAGCCCTTTTTATTTTGAAAACACAGTCTCACTAAGCAACTTAGGGCCTCACTAAGTTTCTGAGGCTGGCTTCAAACTTGCAATCCTCTTGCCTCAGCCTCCTGAGTCATTTGAAATTACAGGCATGTGTCATCACACTTGGATACTGGGGGTATGCTCTTGAAATGGATTTTGGGGTCCCAGCCACTTCCTGTCCCTCTCTTTGCTTCCTAGTCAGCATGAGGTGAACAGGCCTCCTCCTCCCCATGCTCCTGCCAAAGACCCACAGCAACAGGGCCCAGCAACCCAGGATTGAAATGTCTGAAACCATTAGCCAAAATAAACCTTTCCTCCTTATAAGTTGATTATCTCAGGTGTTTTGTCCCAGGGTAGAAAGCTAACACAAATACATTAAATTCAAGCAAATCATGGGCTTAAAAGCCTTTTTTGTGATTTGAACTAGGACCCCAAACACCACTGGTAACATTTTTTTTTTGTAAGAAAAGGCTTCCTGCTGGGTACAGTGGCACCTATCATCCCAGCAACTTAGGAAGTTGAGGCAGGAAGATCACAGGTTCAAGGTTAGCCTCCGCAATTTAGTGAGACACTATCTCAAAATAAAAAATAAAAAAATGCATTGGGGATGTAGCTCAGTGGTAAAGCACCCTGGGTTTTATCCCCAGTTCTTAAAAAGGTGTGTGTATGGGGGAATTTAAAAAAAATACTTCTCAAGGTGTACACATCTGGCTTATTACTTTTGGAACACAAATCTCTCAGTAAGTTGCTGCCTGAGTGTCCTGATCATAGGGTCTAAGGCCTTCCTTCAGAATGCTCTAAGGTAAAAGGGATCTGAGGCTTTCCCATGACTCCATTGCTCACGGTCCATAACATGTTCTCTAAGCCCCTGAACATCCTGCCTCATCAGCATCACCTGGGAACTTGTCAGAAATGCAGTTTCTCAGGACTTACTCCAGACTTACAAAAGCAGAAACTCTGGAGTTGGCAATCTTTTAACAACCTACTGCATGGCACTAAAATTTGAGAACCACTAGTCTGTCAAGAAAATATTTATACATGGAGAAAGTTGGGGGAGACGGGGCATTATTGTCTGCCTTGAGTGTGCTAAATATTTATGTGATTTGTCATATTTGTTCCTTCTTTGCCAACCAGTTCTTGCATGTGAATAGCACAAATCACCTCATTTTGTCCTCTTCAAGAAGAACCAACTGACAATGTATAGTGCATACTCTCTACCTGCCTTTCATCTCAGGCTGGAGATGAGATTCTGCTCAGAGAAAGGCCCTCCTTTCAGAACTGGGCCTCTCAGCCCTGAAGGTCACCAGGAAAGGGGCTTTCCCATACAAATCAGAGCAGCCTGGACAGGCTGAGTAAGCAATATGAAGGCTTGGCCACTACCTGACAGGAAGGAAATGTGCTCCTGTGACTCAGGGGTCCCGCCTGGTCCTCCTGGGGAACCTGACAGCTTGAGAAACACCTGGTAGGCCAGTCCACATATGGTCAGGAGAGCTGTGGGCTGGGGCCTTGCAAAGCAAGGACAAACACTCTCAATAACCTTTCATGGGCTGGTATCAGAATAAATAAATGGAAAGGCAGGGTGTGCCCAAAGGGCCTTAACTCTTCCAGAGAAAGTTGTATGTGAAGACTACTCACAGCAATATGTACTTAGTGTAAGTGGGTGGCTGCTAATGGCTTGAATATGGCTTTTCCCCTCTGAAACTCATGTTAAAATTTAATCCCCATTATGAGATATTAGAATGTGGGACCAGGTAGAATCTTTCAAAGGTGATCAGGGCTCTGTCTTCATGAATGGATTAATTCATTCTTGCAACTAGTGGATTAAGAAGTTACCTTGTGAGTAGGTCTGCTATGAAAATCAATGTGGTTATGTCTCTTGAATGCTCCCTGTCTTTTGCCATGAGATGCCCATGCTGCCTCAGGATTCCACCAGCAAGCAGACCATCATCAGATGTAGCCCTTGACCTTGGACTAGAATCATGAGCCAAAATAAACCTCTTTTTAAAATAAGTTACCTGGTGCCAGGTATTTTGTTTTAGCAATCCAAAACAGACTAAGACAGTGACATCTTACCATTTGCCTTTCTAACTTATACAAACTTGACTGGGAGTTCTTGAGGAAAGAGCAGTCCACTTCATTTAATAGTATATTGCTAAATGTCAACCACATTGTTAAGTGTAGCTGTAATGCGTTTGTTTGAGCTGCTAAATCAGATTCCATTGTAGGCAAAAAAAAAAAAAAAAAAAATGTCCTTCTATTCTCTAGATAGGCTTTGGAGTTTTCTTTTTTCTTTCTAATTTTTTTTTTCCAGTGCCAGGGATGAAACCTGGGGCCTTGCAAATGCTAGGCAAGCACTCTCTCACTAAGCTATACCCTCAGCTCTAGATTGTTTTTGTTACTGTGAACAGGAGACAGAATGCTTGTAAAATAAGATCAGAAAGGAACAACTTATCTCCCAACTTTGGTTTTTGGTTTTAATTTTTTTCTTGTACTGGGGATTGAACCCAGGGGAACTCTACCACTGAGCTACACTCCCAGTCCTTTTTATTTTGAGACAGGGTCTTGCTAAGTTGCTGATTGCCTCAGACTTGCGATCCTCCTGTTTCAGTCATCTGAGTCACCAGGATTACAGGCATGAGTCACTGCACCCAGCAAATTTACCTTATTGATAACAAAACCTATTATGAAATAAAGTAATTAAGACAATGTGGTACTGGCACAGTGACAGACAAACTGACCAATGAAACAGGATGCAATGGTATAGTACTTTTGGAGTATGTCAGAGAGTGGCATTTAAGATTAGTGGGTAAGGCAGGCATAGTAGCACATGCCTGTAATCCCCGTGACTCAAGAGGCTGAGGCAGGAGGATCACAAGATTTGAGGCCAGCCTCAGAAATTTAATGAGACCATATCTTAAATAAATAAATAAAGCATCAGGGATGTGGTTCAGTGGTAGAGAGGCCCTGAGTTCAATTCTTTGCACCACCAAAACAAAGTAAAACAAAAGAAAACTGAACCCCTACCTCAAACTATAAAGTCCATACTAAATGAATAAGACCTTAATTATCAAAAAACATAAAAACTCTCATTAGAAAAAGTAGGTGAGTCATTTGGACCTCAGAGTCAGAAACACTTCTTAAATAAGGCATGGAAAAAAAAAACACCTTACTAGAAATACTGATAAATTTGGCTATATTAAAAAATAAGGCTAACCACGCTCAGTAGCAGACCTGTAATCCCAGCAGTTTGGGAGGCTGAAACAAGAGGATTGTGAATTCAAAGCCAGCCTCAGCAACTTAGTGAGACCCTGTTTCTATATAAAATATTAAAAAGGACTGGGGATGTGGCTCAGAGGTTAATCCCCACTCTCAGGGTACAAAAAAACATAAAATGTAAAATATATATATATGGAGCGAGGCACAGTATTACACACCTGAATTCCAGCTATTCCAGAGGTTGAAGCAGACGACTCATGAATTTGAAGCCAGATTCAGCGACTTTACTAGACCCTTCTCTGAGAGGGAAAAAAGATAAAGAACATTTGTTTGCCATAGATTTTATGCAAACAAATCACCACGACTAACCATTATTCTGTTGTTCTGAACCACTCCCCAGTTGTTTTAGTCAGCTTTTTCACATAGAGGAGGAAAGGTTTATTTGAGGCTCATGGTTTCAGATATCTCAGTCCATAGAAGGCTGACTCCATTCCTCAGGGCTAAAGGTGAGGCAGAACATCGTGGCGGAAGAGTGTGATGGAGGAAAGTAGCTTAAGACATCACATCAGGAAGCAAAGAAAGAGCTCTGCTCAACAAGGACAAATATATACTCCAAAGTCACGACCCCAGTGACCTGACTCTTCCAGCCACACCCCACCTGCCAACAGTTAGGGAATTAATTCACTGATTGGATTAACACTCTCATAACCCAATCATTTTATCTCTAAACTTTTTTGCATTGTCTCACGTGTGAGCTTTTGGGGGACACATAACCTAAACCATAACAAGCCTTTTATAATATGATATTTACTTTTAATATAAATAAAATTGCAACTGACTCCATAAAGAGAGCCATTCTTTCCCTCAATTTTCAATAATATTATTGGCACCAAACCACCCTCTTTGCTTGACCTTTTTCACCTCAGAGAGGTGTCCCCTTCTTGTTTCCTGATTCTTCTCTCAATCACACTTAGAATATGAACATATTTCCGGCCTTTATTGTTTGGAAACAGTGATGAAAAAAAGGTTAAAATCTAAATTAAAACAGGTGTATATTGTTTCCCATTACAAAATAGCTAGAAGAAAGGATTTTTAATATTCTCCCCACAAAAAATGATGTTTGAAATGATGAATAAGCTAAATATCCTGATTTGATCATCACACAATGTTTCTATGTATCTCAACATCACATAAATATGCACAATTATTATATGTCAATTATAAAAAAAATAAGTGGGACTTTATCCCCACCTAAAAATAAAATTTAAAGTTACCAAAAATACAGAAATTAATGAAAATTAGTCAACTTTCCTTCCTTAAATATTTGCTGAGTACCAACCATCTATAAGACATTGTGCTAGAAGCTAGAAATACAAAAATAGATAACATGTAGTACCTGTCCTTAAAAAGATGACAGTCTAGGCTGGGGGTATAGCTCAGCAGTAGAGGAATTCTTAGCATGGACAAGACATTGGGTTCCATCCCCAGTGAGAAATAAAGAAAGAAAGAGAGAGAGAGGGAGGGAGGGAAGAAGGAAGGAAGGAAGACTCTGTCACAGGAAGACAAGAGAAATAAGTGTTCTTGGCACCCTATTAGGGTTGCCTGTAGGGACCCAAGAGGGTACAAAGGAAGAAATCGGCCATGTTCCCAGGGAGGACAGGGAAGATGGGAAAAGGCCAGCATGGGAGAAACTTGAAAGATGCAATTTGAGCAAAAGATGAAGGCGTACATAACCAAGTGAGATACACATAGGATATCCAGATGGCTGATGTCCAGAGAACTGAGGAAAGCCCACTGAGGAAGGCATGCCAAGGAACTAAGGCAAGGAAAGGTGTTGGGACAACCCTGAGAAACCTCTGAAGAACCTGATTGCGAGGAAGGAGCTTGAGAGTGGAAGTGGCACGGGATATGGGGTTGGGGAAGATTCTAGAGTTTAAGATACATGAGACAGACAGGCATGGTGAAACACTCCTGTGATCCCCACTACTTGGGAAGCTGAGGTAGGAGGATGGCAAGTTTGAGGCCAGCCTCTGCAACTAGGGAGAACCTGTATCAAAATAAAATAGAAAAGGCTGGGGGCATACATAGCTCAGTGGTAGAGTGCCCCTGGATTCAATCCCCAATACTAGATGGAAAAAAAAAAGACACAAAACATAAATATGTGTCCAGATTTCAAAAAAGAAGCCAGGAGAATTGGAATATTTAAAAATATCTGAAGGATAAATTCCTTCTTTTTGTCTTAACTTCCTGTGGATGTTAAAATTTCTAAGAAAAGGTAATAGTATTTCCAGGAAACCACTCGACCCTAACTTAAATCCTTAGTGTCAAAATTATAACATAGTTCCTCTTGACTCACTGGCAACAGTTTTGATGCACAAACAAGGTATATGTCCATAATTATGATGATCATACAAAGTGAACTGGGGGTGTAGCTCAGTGGTAGAGTACTTTCCTAGCAAGCACAAGTCCCAGGGTTTAGTCCCCAATAGAGAAAAATGTAAAACTTAAAAAAAAAAAAATCACACAAAATAACTTAAATGAGCACTATGAATGGGTCTCATGTCTTCACCTATATTCCATTGATATCCTCATAGCATCTCGCCCTTCTCATTGGCCTTTTCTGTTTACATGGGAGATCTATGATGTGAACACACAAGCATTTTCTAGATTCCTACAGATAATATCAGAATATTATTATAAATCCATAACACAGACACTGATGAGCTGTATATGGAACCCAGGTAAGTAAAGGGAAACAAAGAAAAAGAACCAGAAGAAGTACAACAATAATAAAGACACAACAGACATGTTCCAATTGAGTTTCACTACTCAGCACTTGACAATGATCTTGGAATTTCTGGTAGGAAGAAAACACTCAAAAGGATTTACAAAAATTCTCCTTGCCTTCCCCCCCCCCCGCTTTTTTTTTCTTTTTTTGGTATTGGGAATTCAACTCAGGGGCACTCCACCACTAAGCCACATCCACAGCCCTATTTTATATTTTATTTAGAGACAGGGTCTCAGTGAGTTGCTTCGTGCCTTGCTAAATTGCTGAGGCTGACTTTGAACTCATGATCTTCCTGTCTCAACCTCCTGAGCTGCTGGGATTATAGATGTGGGCCACTGCACTCAGTTCTCCTTGGTTCTTAATTGTGTATCATCTAGACTATGCTTTCTCTTTGAGAACACCAGGCCACCATAAGCAGACAAGAAATCATTTATTCATTCTGCTTCCTAAGTGCCTCTGCCCATTCTGTTTTTGATGCTGCTATGTGAAGGTCTTCACACTACTGGACCTTGGCACTAATCTGATTGATCTTGACACAGTAGAATTGGTCAGATGAATAGAAATTCTGACTTTGATTTCACATGACTGTGTGACCTAGGTCAAGTCACTTAACCTCTGTAAGTCTATTTCCACACTGTGAAACAGAGATGGCTACTCTATAAATGGTGGCTATAATGGTTGTTGTTTGTACCTTCAATCTCTCCCAGGGTTGTTTTTGTAACATAAAGATCTGATCATGTTTCTTCTCTGTTCAAAACCAGCTGTGGGCCACTCATGATGATGACACATGTCTGTAATCCCTGCAGCTCAGGAGGCTGAGGCAGGAGGAGAGCAGGTAAGAAGCCAGCCTCAGCAATTTAGCAATTACTGTAAGCAACCTAGTAAGACCCTGTCTCAAAATAAAAAGGGCTGTGGATAGGCTGGGGTTGTACCTCAGTTGGTAGAGCATTTGCCTAGTATGCCTGAGGCACTGGGTTCAATCCTCAGCACCACATAAATAAATAAATAAATAATATAAAGGTATTGTACTTGTCTATAACTAAGAAAATATTTTTAAAAGGTGAGGGAAGGGGCTCTGTGGATGTAAATTTCAGTGGTAGAGTCCCAGGTTTAATTCTCAGTACTACAAAAACAAATAAAAGCCTGCTATGGTCTATTTTTCTTTATAGATGAGGTCCAAAAGTCTTAGTGTGGCCTTAAAAGCCCTATCTACCTCTCCAGCAATTATGTTCACTGACTTCCCTTTTCCTCTGCTCTGTGCATGCTCTTTTAAATATTCAGACATCTTTCTATCCCCTGGACATAACCTATGCTTTCCTCTTCTCAACTTTCTCGTGTGTGTGTGTGTGTGTGTGTGTGTGTGTGTTGGGGATGGGCAGGCATGGTGGTGCATGCCTATAATCCCAGGGACTCAGGAGGTTGAGGGAAGAGGATTGATTGCAAGTTTGAAGCCAGCCTCAGCAGCTTAGCAAGTCCCTTAGCAATTTAGTGAGACCCTATCTCAAATAAAAAATAAAAAGTGCTGGAGAGGGGTTGGGGATATGGCTCAAGTAGTAGCATGTGTGAGGCACTGGGTTCGATGCCCAGTACCACATAAAAATAAAATAAAAAAACCTAAAGCGAGAAAATAAATATTTTTTTATTTTCTAAAAAGTGCTGGAGATGTGGCTTAGTGGTTAAGAGCCCCAGGGTTCAATCCCCAGTTCCCAAAAAAGAAAGAGTGTGTGTGTGTGTGTGTGTGTGTGTGTGTGTGATGGTTTTCTTTTATCTAGTCAGCCTATCCAGTGCATAACCATTCAAAACCCTAATTCCTTGACTCTCTTTCTCTCCTATGTGCCTTTGAAATCTGTGTGTGTGTGTGTGTGTGTGTGTGTGTGTTTGTGCCTATGTGTCTAATACAGCATTTATTTGGTCTGAGATGTTCTAAGAATGATTTTTTAAAAAATTATTATGATGTTAAGAGTACCTGGAGAGTAGATCCTTAGGTCTTCACCTGTTTTATCTTGGTATCTCCCTCTTTAGTCCCCTCCCTCTCTCCCTTCTTTTCCTGCACTTAGGAAGTAAGAAATAAATGGCTGATAAATTGAATTGAACAGTTCACTCCTACTGCAGGTTTCTAAATCTTCCATGTGAGCTATGATGATACAGACTTTCATCTTTACACAATAAATTCCTTTGTGGTTATTGACTCTGCACATGAGCATGAAGAGGACAAGTAATAGAGTTGTATTCAGTTATTACCTTATCCTCCAAGTGGCAGAAAGAAAGACCTAGCTCACCAGCATTGGTTCTAACAACTAGAAAACAATATATGGTAAAGTGAATTTAGGTGGTGTGTGGGGAAAAGAGTGTGGTGTGTGTTTGTGTCAGCTCTCTGGCACTATTAAAAAACAAACAACAAACAAACAAACCAACCTTGGATAATCGACTTATAAAGCTAAAAGGTTTACTTTGGTTCACGGTTTTAGAAGTTTCGCTCCATGATCAGGTGGATCCATTGCTTTTAGGCTTTTTTTATGTGTACAAGATGCCAATGGCAGGGTACATGTGGTATAGGGAAACTGCTCACTTCATGATCAAGGAGCAAAACAGAAAAGGAAGGGGCTAGGGTCCCACTATCCCCTTCCAGGGCACATTCTCCATCACCTTAAAACCTCCCACTAGGCCGCACCTCTTAAAGGTTCCACCACCTCTCAAAAGCACTGCTATGGTCTTGAACACATGAGCCTTTGGAGGACATTCAAGATCCAAAGGATAACAGGGTTTTTATGAATTGATATGAGCTGAGCTCCATAATATAGCCTGAGGAATCAGACACAGTGCCATTGTGGTGTCTCTGTTGTTGTTATTGTTATTGTTATTATTTAGAACCCTATAGTTAACCTATAGAACATACCTGAGCCTCAGACTTTTCTGAATACCATGCTAATCCTAAAGCATGCTATTATTATAACTTAAAACTCCATAGTCCAATGAGTTTGTTATATATTCGATTAAACAAAGATAACAGAATTTCTCAGGGCTTTTATTATGTTAATCTTTGTGAATCTCTACAAATTGGCTTATGGTATGGAAGTTGTTACAGAATGAATGTTTGCATTTTCCCTCCAAATTCAAATGTAGAAGACCTAACTCCCAATGTGAGAATATGAGGAGGTGGAGTCTTTAGGAAATAATCAGGATTAGATGAAGTCATGAGGGTAGAGCCCATATAATCATGATAGTGTCCTTATAAGTAGAGGAAGAACCAAGATTGATACATCTCTCCCCTCCCCTCTCTCTGTCACATAAGCATTTGGGAAACAAAAGCAAGCCAGGAATAGGGCCCTCACCAAGAATGAATCTGCCAGCACTTAAATCACGGGACTTCCCAGCTTCTAGAACTGTGAGAAATGTCTGTTGTATAAGTCATACAGTCTATGGTATTTTGTTATAGCAGTCCAAACTGAAATAAGAGTGATTCCAAATGTATTTGAAAATGCAGTTGTTTTATAATAGTGCATTATGGTGACCTAGTGTTTCATGGAACACACTTTGGGAGACATGGCTCTAATTTAATCTTTTTTTTTTTTTTATAACTTTTATTTATTTATTTATTTATTTTTGGTGCTGAGGATCGAACCCAGGACCTTGCATGTGCGAGGTGAGCGCTCTACTGCTGAGCCATAACCCCAGCCCCCTAATTTAATCTTAATTTCATCTGGAGGCTATATATGAATTTGTTACATCATGTAATAGCAGCACATAATGTAACTCTTCTATCAATGTCCAGAAGATTTCAATGTGATTACAGTATAAATATGCATTTCAAATCAGTTTTGGACATGAGGACTGAATTGAAACCTCTGCTCTTTCTTGGGTCTCCAGCATATTGGCTTCTGATGGGAATCATGCCACTGGCTCTGCTGGCTGTCTAACTTGCCAACTCACCCTGCTGTTTTGGGGACTTAGCCTCCATAATGACCTGAGCTAAATCCTCATTATCTACCTACCTACATACATACCTACCTACCTACTTATCTATTCATCCATCCATCCATCCATCTATCCATTCATCCTATTGGTTCTGTTTCTCTGTAGAACCCTAACACAGTATTAATGTAATTAAACAAAAATAACCCTCAAAGACCTACTACTTCTTCAGCAAGAAAATTCCCTTTTGAAAGACTTAGCTTTGTAGAATTAATATAGGATCATGGATTTTTATTGACTAGAGAGAAATCAAATTGAAGGTTAAAAAAATTCCATTGCTGAGATACTAGAAATTTCTGATAGATATATTTTGCTTTATAGTTCTAGTACAGTGAGTAGCATGCTGAAATTAATTAATTATTATTATTATTATTAGGCACTGGGGATCAAACTCAGGGTTTACACATATACTAGCAAGCACTTTACCACTAAACTATACCTCCAACCCCCAGAAATTAATTTTTTTAGTGCAAAAAATTTGATGGTATTGGTGAGAATAAAGATAATCAAAAGGCTTTGTAAACTAGTGCTGTTATGATAATGCAAACTAGGAGATATCTAGGGCAATTAAAAGTGACAGAATTTATCTATGGAAAGAAGGAAGCTCCTTTCATCTTCTTGTACAAAGAGATGAGTTTCAATATTCAGCATTGACTGTGGGTCCAGCTTTTTATCTCTGCCCCGTAACTCTACCCTACTGGTCTTTTCTGCTCTCATATGCTTCTTCCTAGCATCAGTGCTTAAACATAAGCCTTTTCTACCTCTCATTCCACCTCACCCTTGACGTGTCCTGTTTTCTTCTATCCAATAAAGGAAGGAGGGTGGAGATTTGGCTTCTCAGGCAGCCAAACAGTGATGCTTGCTCCAGGCTCCACCTCCCACACCATCCACCACCCTGTGTGGACTATATTGCTCTTACCCAGAAGCTGTTTTTCCATCCTAGGAGCTGACCTCATTGTTCCTGGGGCTGGAGCCATCTTATAAGGCAAAACTTGCCAGTTTGGGAGTTGATGGCAGTTTTGTGTTTGTGGCACTGGAGGAGTCAGCTTGTCCATTGTCTTTTGTCATAAAGATGTTAACAACTACCTTTCCTCTCCTTTGAGCAAGAACATGGCTGAAAGCACAGAAGTGTGACTCGAGTGTCACACATGGATATGTATGTAGATTCACTAGTTTAGGAAACTGCTGTTGTTGATGAGAATTGTCAGTATACAGCTCTGCTTCCTGTTCTTGCAGACCAGCATGACATTTGGCTCAATCGAGCCCCTGTCATGGGTTGCCACACAAACATTGCTTGACTGGTGCTGTCATTTCCTGGCAATGAACAATTATTCCACATTGCCTCAGGATGCTCTCACAGTGTCCCTCTCGTGGCCACTGAACTAGTCCTCAAAAAGCAAATGTACAGCTGGAGTCATGCTTTTGAGGAACACAGGCAGCAACAAAGCCAGTATGGTTTATTGGAAGGACCATCAAATACAGCACTAGGAGCACAGCTGCAGTATTTTCAAAATAGAGGAACTGGCTCCCACCCCAATCACCATATAGTTGTCACAGCCATACATGGCCTTCTTGTCCCTTCCCCATCTGACGCCATGAAGAGGGGAAGGTAGCAGTGGTGGTTCTTGAATTCCGTAATCACTGGCCACATAATATTATCTACTGGATAACACCACATACCCTCACAACCCAGCTAATCAGCTCTCTTGTTAGATTTTTTTCTCCTTAATATGCACCATATTCTTGGCCATAGGTTCCTTGATTTCCCCTATTATTTTAATGTACTTAATAGCAAGCAATCCACATTGAATTCTGCATCTTTAGGATAGAATGTTTTACAGTAGTGCAAAACATGTCTCTTCAGATGTACATTGGGAACAGACTTACTACCTTAGCAATTCATCAAGTAGCCAACTAATATTTGCTTACCGTCTACTTTTTGCTTACCGTCTACTTTGTATATGTCTTAGGTGCAAGGTGCTCATTGTGAAGGTTCAACAACGGATTATATATTGCTCAGGAAATAAGCATCTTGAAAAGTTGATAAAAGTAGTTATTTCATATTTTAAGTAACAAATGTCTATACAGTACCTGGAACTTTTTAAATAATAGGAATTTAAATGCAACATGAGGATAAAAAGTGAACAATGCCATCCAGACTTTAAGTCTGGGGAGAGCTAGATAAATTATTTAATAATAAATGATGCAGACTTTCCTTATTAGGAGGGGTTACTGAAGCCATTACAGGACACAAAACATTATCCTGATACAGAAACATAAACTTATCTTTATCTAGCCATTTGTAGGGGAGAAAGAACTCAGGACTTTATTTTTGATACTGGGCATTTAATTCAGAGGCACTTTACCACTGAGCTACATTCCCAGGCCGTCCTCCCGCCCTTTTTTTTAGACAGGGTCTCACTAAATTGCTGAGCGCCTCCAACTTGGGATCCTCCTGTCTCAACCTCCTGAGTCTAGAGGAATGCACCACAGTGCCTGGCTGAAGACTCTTGAAATAGCTAATTTCCCTCCCCAGAAAGCAGAATCTATGAATAAGAAAAGAAGAGATTGTGGGATCACAGCTCTAAATTATTTGTTCTGAGCAAGTAACCTTGAAGATGAAAATTTGAGAGACTGTAAGGACTATAGGACTCATGGTTTCTAGTGTTTGAACTGCTTACATAATACTTTTTTTTTTTTTTTTTTTTTTTTTTTTTTTGTGGTGCTGGGGCTCAAACCCAGGGCCTTGCAAATACTAGGCAAGTACTCTACCAGCTGAGCTACATCTCCACCTGTGGGCTGCTTACATAATACTTGATGAGACATCTATTTACCCCAGGATCACCAGGACACCCCTTTTGCAAAGTATTGCTTCAGGGCACAACATGCTTTATTTGTGTAATTTTTATATCTACTGGAAAACCCATGGAGGCCCTGTCTCTCTTCCCCTCCTGTGTAAAATAAAGACAAGAGAACCTATAACTTCACAGGCATTGAAACTCGATTTTTGCTCACACTGCCTCAATTAAACAAGTTCTGAATTTTTTTTTTCCCCCTTGGTGATGAGTGACATTGCCACGCACCTTAACAGCAGAGAAAGCGATTCTGTGGGCCAATACATTTGTGTCTAGGAGGCATGGATATCTCCTGCTAACCCTCCTAGCTTCACACTGGCGGCTTTTAAATTGCTCAGAATTTTAGAAATGCCATAATCTCGGCATATTAAATATTAAGGGACTCCCTCAGAGTGCCAGAGCCTTAAAGTTACGTTATGCAAATCTGAACGAGCATGTTTCCATGGTGCAGAATAAAAGTTATGGCAGGGCTTTTTTTTTTTGAAGCAGCATACTATAAACGTCACTCATGCCACTGTCTTTCACAAGGGCCCACTTGCTGTGAAATATTTTGAAAATAGAGACAAAGTGGAGATAACGCAGAGCGCAAACAGGCAGAAATGAGTAAACCGAGCTTGGCTGCTCCCGAAGAGGAAAAGGGACGCTCTGGAAATCTGAAGGAAAAAAACACGCGGCCCGCTGTTCGGGGACCTCTGTTTCCCTCGTCCCTCGAGCTGGGGGGGCTCCCCCAGGAGAAGGAAGCAGCCCCCCCCAACCAGCTTCCGGACTGCAGCTTCTCTCCTCACACCTCCAGGGAGCAGTGCAGTCTCAGGCCACAATTCTCCGCGACCCAAAAATAACTACACAGATGTAAGGAAAAGGGCCAAAGCCCGCGGCACAGGGCGGTGCTTAGTTACAGTCTTATCGCTCACAGCCAGAACGCTGGAAACCTAACCTAGCGCCAGCCTTTTATAGCCAGTCCCTCGAGCCCCGCCTTAGCAACCACTCCTAGCAACGCCTCGCCCTCGCGCTCTGCCAGCTTATCGGCCTCAGTCAGGCTCTTCCTGTTCCCCTCCCCCCACCCGTTCGGCACGGCCGCCCAGGCCACGTGACTTGCCCCTGGGGAAGGGCGGGGCGAGTGGAAACGTGCAGGGCGGGGCGCTGGAAGGCGAGGCCTAGCATCATCAAGATGCGACCGTATGGTTGTGGCGCCTAGTATTTCAGGGCGTCTGGAGGTTCCGGGACTAGGGAAAATGGCGGGGAATGTGGTGCTGGCGTGGATTCGCGGCCCCGGCTCCGGGTGCAAGGCGGTGCGGTGTGCCTCGGACCGGTGTTCCGTACGGGATTTTATCCACCGACACTGCCAAGATCAGGTGAGGATCGCGGTTCCTGGAAAGTAGGGGAAAGGCAGCCTAGGGGCTGAGCTGGGTGCGAACAGGGTCTGTCTCGGGAGGGTCTTATTCTCTGGGGTTTGAGACTGAGTTCTCCAGTTTTAAGGTGCATCAAACTAATACTGAGATTGTGTTTTGAAGGTGGTTGCTTTGCCTCCCCATAGAAAGAGAAAAGAAAAAATGCCCTGATTTACACTTTGGTTCGGTTTCTTTATCTGTAAATTAGGAAATTGGACCAGGTGACCTTTAAGGCTCATGTCCTTATATTCATAGGGACGTGCATTGTATCTACTAACCACAAAACCCTGTTGAGTTCTTAGAGAAATATGTCCTAGCCAAACCCAGGTCAAAAGACCATTGGGGAGCAGAGTGAGTTCATCTAGTCACTGGATTCCTCCAGTGGCTGGGCGGGGCCACCCACTTATACACTGTACTGTTGAGGGCATGGATTCTTGGTCTTATTATTTAGATGCTTTCGTCAGTAATTTAATGTTTTTTTTTGTCCATGCATATTTATGAATACCCATCAAGGACTTGTAAGGTTACCTGTATACCTGTATTCTTTTACTTGATTCCAAAGTAAGCAAATGTTTATCAACTGTGAGATAATAAACATGTTCATTTATCTAAGAAAATTAGTAATCCTCTTGAACCTAATTTTAAAATTTTGGCACTTAATCTAGAATTCTGTTTATACACCTAATCCATGCTGTTTTTTCCATTACTTATAAGCTTAACAAATGTTAACACTGCAAACCAAATCTTTAAAACACTAGGTCTTGTTCCATGGAGAAGCAATGTGTGTTTGCAAATAATGTGGTTTTCCAGCTTCCTGCTTTCTTTCTGTATTGCAGTCTAGTCTAAAAACAGCAGAACTGTTTTGGACCATCTGAATGGGAAAACAATTTTGCAAAATAGTTGGCTTTTAGTATACTTGAAAATAACTGGTATGAAGTTTCCAAATCTTACTAACAGTTGATCCAAAGTGGAACCAGAAAAAAATAGGATCGTAACTCTCAAGAGTGATGGGAATAAGAATTTTAAAATAAGTAGCAAGAAATAGAAATGAATTCTGACAGTTATTTCACAAACATCACTATAGCAAATCTGAATAGAAACAACTTATAAAAGGGTGTTTGATGAGATATTGAAACAAAAATAGTTCAGGTTCACATCTATGCTTTTTTAGGTGGTAGTATTGGGAATTGAACCCAAGGGCACTTTGCCACTGAGTTATGTCCCCTGTCTCTATTTATTTGTTTTTTAAATTCCAAGACCAGGTCTTGCTAATTTGTAGAAGTTTACCTTGAACTTTTGATCCTCCTGCTTCAGTCACTGGGATTATAGGTATGCACCATCATGCCTGACCCACGCCTATGCTTTTAAAAACAAAAGTGTTCTGAAATATGGGCTGGGGATGTGGCTTAAGCGGTAGCACGCTCGCCTGGTGTGCGTGCGGCCCGGGTTCGATCCTCAGCACCACATACCAACAAAGATGTTGTGTCCGCCCAGAACTAAAAAATAAATATTAGAAAAATTATCTCTCTCTCTCTCCTCTCTCACTCTCTCTTTAAAAAAAAAAAGTGTTCTGAAATTAGAAAGTTAGTGTTAGTTCTCACTGAGAAAATTAAAATCTGTCCTGTTTTCATCAGGCATAACAGACACAGATAAAGCCATTTGCAAAGTTAATAGAAAACAGTGTTTTTCCCAAAGACATGCTACAATGGTAAAATTTTATAAACACCTCCTTAAAAATCTTGTCTTAAACACTGGGAAA